GTCCTAATTTCTTGATTTAGGTTTCTTTGTTGCAATCCTATAGACTGCATTCTTCATTTTTGTGTACTGCACTTTTTGCCTATAATATCCTCCTTCTTCGCCGCTACCAAATTGCACACTGTCTGTGGCAATTATGGGCCTTCCTTGAACCATTTTTTTTCGCATTTTCCTAAAAGGAATGAACCTTTTCCGTCCTTCTAGAATATCCCTGAATGCTTCCCACAGCTGGTGCGCAGTGAAACAGGGTAGAATATCTTCCCACTGCAAGCTAGCGAGAACAGCTGTAAGTTATTCAAATTTACCCTAGAAAAAATTGGAATTATAACATGATAGCCTAATCTGAATAACCTAGATACATGAAAACCTTATGACATTATGATCGCTATTTCCAAGTGTCTCATCTACCGTCGAAGCACATACCAACCTCTTCTCATTAGGGATTGCAGGATCAAAAACCCCATTTAAACTAGTGGGTTTGCACACCACATGTTGAAGAAAATTTTCTGCAAGGGAAGCAGGGATATTTGTGCGACTATTTCACAATTGGCCGAAATCTACGCTCCACCCTGGGATGTTGAAACCTCCCAGCACCATACATTTTCCAATCACAACTCGTCCAATTTCTTCGCATATTTCTATACACAGATCCTAAAAGCAATTTGGAAGCCTTAAGAAAGCTCAAACACGTAATTTGCTGATCTTTTACACAATCGAATCTGTCCAGAGGGATTCTGCAATATAGTTATTCTTCATTTTAATACCACTTGCCTTTGCATAGATGCACCTAAGGTTTCCTACACTTCTTTTCCTACGTAATCAATAGTTGACTGATGTTGACGTTGAATAACAAGCTCTGGCTGTTGTTTTTGACAAGCTGTTTCAACGTGAGGTGCAGATATTTTGCCACTGTTATGCAATATTTCAGAAAAACCAGCAGTCGCATGCCGATTGGAATATTGTGAACATCTTGGTCAACATTTCCGAGATTTTCAGTCTCCACACACGTAGGCAAATCAATGTCTTTTCAGAGAACTTACCTGAATTGACCAATTGGCCATGACGTGGAGGTGCTGATTGTATCATAAGTCGCTCATGTTTTATAACATCGTATATGCATCGCTGGCGTTGCGTCCCATCTGCTTGTGTTGCGTGTTCTGCGTTTTTCTATATGACAGGTACTGACGCGGTGTTTGAATAGCCACTCGCTGGATTTCGCCAAGTTTCGCAATAACAATAATAATAGTAATGACAATATCGTGACTTTAAACACAAACAATATTTCAGCACACTTGGTCATACAATGAGTCACGTTGACATTCGTAGTGGTAAAACAAAATGGAAAGAATAGCAAAATAACTTGCCGAATTCAGCAAACCATGTTTAGGTTTACCATGCCGGTAAGAGTGAGTTCATATGGTGAAAATGATGGTAAGTGTAAGAACTGAGTGAGTTAATCTGAGTTAGAGCTGATACGCTCGGCACGGGACATCTTGTGACAAAATGGAGCCCAACATTTTCACTTCAGGTGCATTATACTTTCATGCTCGATGGTTGCAATGGTGGGCACATGTTACATGTGCGTGGTGGTTAGTTAACACGCGCTCGGATGTGAGGGTCAAATTGACCCCCCGAAGGTTTTTCCAGAATGGTTTTCGAACGGCGCGGCATAGCCACGTCAAATTTTTCACAGTTGTGGACAATTAAAAAGCGGATCGTTTGACGTAAAAGATAGATGTACCTTGTAGGGTCGCTGAGCTATGGCAGGTCAAAGTCAGGTCATGGCATCAGCGGAGGCAATTTCCTGGGAATCGTTCAATGTGATACAAGAACGGAGTGTTTGACGAAACCATACATCTCTGAGATGCTTTTTTAGGCACCACAAACATTGACTGAACAAATTAAGTTGGCCTAAGGGCAGGTATGAATGTCAGACCAAGGTCAAAACCAATCTGATTTTTTCTCTAGGGCTTTTGGTATGGGATATTTTTTGGTGCGCATTTCGCGTTTATTGACAGCAGGAATCGCATTATACATCTGTAATGGACTTCTGGGAGGTCAGAACAGGTCATTGACCTAACATGACCCGGGTCGGCAATCTGTTTTAGGGACATACTGCCTAACGTTATCTTTGTCGCTTATTCAAATGCAAAACTCAGAGCAGTCTTGTACGATTTTGGTCACCATGACCTTCAGAAGGTCAGACAAGGTCACTGGCGGTCAAGATCACTCAGATGGGCTTATGAAATTTTGCTTAGAAACAGTTGCCTAGGTTCTGGGGGCACTTTGGTGATCAACCTGGAACTTGACCTTTTGACCTTATTTGACCTGAGATTATGATCTAGGAGCCTGAAATTATGGTCAGGTACAGGTCAAGACATAATAAAATCACGTACAGGTCAAGACACTCTGTAAATTTGGTATTTCTAGCTTTCTTAGCTCCCGAGATCTCAGGGGGGTCAAATTGACCCCCCACCCGAGAGAAGGATATCCAGCCGGCCACTCGGGCGCGTGTTAAAGGCATGCATGTTGCAGCGGAAATGAACGTTTGTGACTACCACGGCGCGGCGCACGCGTTTGGTGAGTAGTACGTGGTGAAACATGTGGTCACTAAACCAGCTTATATTTCGCTGGTGTTTACCTCTACGTTAAAAACGCAACCTTGCGTGAGACAAGCACCCAAGCAAACAAAGCTTTCCAAAGCCAAAGTGCCTTTCGAACAGTGGCACTATGCTAAATGCCATATGGGTACATCAAAGCCATAGTGCAAGGTTTCGTTGAATTCGCGTCAGAATGACCTCATATTTGTTCATCTTTTTGCCTAAGTGGAGGGTTTCAAGCTCTCATGCTGTTTATCGCACGATGCTTTTTCAAATTGGTGTATTTAGAATGCCATATAAAATGCACGTCAGGAAAGGCGGACAAATAAAAATATTTTCATTGTGATGGAGAGGTAGTCCAATGATATTTTCGCCATCGAAGATGCTACTTAAAATCAAATTTCTGAGCTTTTCAGAAGGTTTTCGACAAAATTGGTGTTACCGATAAGGTTAGATCCGTGTGACTGACTCATGCGTGAAAAAGGCACAAGGTGAAAAAGTGAGGTACAAAATGTGGAATACTTCCTTTTGTGCGGCAGGAATTTCACCTTAGGTGGTAATGTTAAAATCATGACGGTTTCCCACGCGCCGATCCGCTTCGTGTTCTTTTAGGTGTAGGACTCATGCACGCGAATGTGTAATTTGGTGTAACTGTTATGGTGATAACACCAGTGCCGCTTCCCTCAGCTATGAACGCAAAAATTCTTCCGTTTTGCTCGTTTTTTGTCACAAAATATGCTACGCTTCCAAAACTAACTTGCAGTGAAATGCGCTCCGCCGTTATTGCTGCATCACTTTTTTATTATTCAAATCCAGCCCGCGATTGTTCCTTGTGTTTGCTTCTAGCTCTGTACCCTGTGTGTGGGGAGGAAGCCAGTCACGATCCAGACCTGGCGCCAGGGCGACCAATGTACGTACCCGCAGAGCTGCGGAATCGAGCTCAGCTTCAAATGTGTCAATACAGTAGAAAATGGCGTGAAATTTCGGGAAATAAAGCCACAGTAACGTCAAAGTTTTGCACAGCACCATCAGAAGACTTTTTATGAAATCCGTGGCGTTAAAATGGGAGTCCTTTATCACTTGTTCCTACGTTGTAGGTTGTGTCTCCCCGTCAGTGCGTAAAACGTTCCCTCTTGGGGGAACGCAATCTGTCCACTGCTCGTCATCTGTAAATTTATTCACAACAAAAGAACCATTTACCTGGTTTTGTTTTACCCGCAACATGTGGTAACTTGGCGCACTCTAACATATAAAATTAGCGACAAATTCCAGCAATTGTTGGCTTATCAAGTCCAGGATGGCTACATCTTCCCATATTACCTTGCGTATTCCCTCTCACCACTAATGCTCTGCCACATTAAGCCCTCCTGTCTTGCCCGCTTCTGCCGTCTCCCAGTGCTCCTGTAATTAAGCCGGCAGTGGACGAACTGTTGCCCTTAGAACATTGCTCCAAAAATGCAGATTTTTTTTTCGTATGCGTAGTTCCTTGTACTGCCCTGCGGGTTCACCTTCCGACTTCTGGACATTGGCTTTTTTGTTGACTCGTCAGTGAACACAATTCTAAAACTGCGGCATCATAGGTTTCCGAACAGATTCTGACTGTCCGATGTTGACCCCTTTTCAGAACTTTGAAAGAGTATTTGGCATTGATGGTATTTGGATAAGATTCGTTGATAACAATAGCAATTGACTTTCAAGGATCTAAGTGGCTTTGGGAACGCAACTGTACACACTTGCCTTACGTCAAGCAAAATGCTGCGTTGGAAATGTATCGTAACAGAATGTTTGTCTTTCGGCCTATAGCCACTGACATTGCTTCTAACGCCTTTTCGAGCTCCCGGATGGTCTTCCTTTGAGGACGTCCTGACTTATGTAAATGGCACATCTCCCTTACCTGGTAGCGACAGTAATCTCCATGTGCTCGTCACGTGCACGCCTGCGTTACGGATATCCGTTGATCGGTGCTTGTTAAGAGCTAATAGCCTCTCACTGTGCCAGGAGCAGAGGAAAACGTGGGGCATCAAACCCCGTACCTCTGGTTCCCCAGACGTGCTACTTAGCGGTAACCCACCAGTACCTCATCAGCAAGTTTGGCAGGCCTCATATGTTTCATTTTTGACAACATCTCATGGAATAACAGTACGTACAGCTGTTTATGGAAGAGCAGAACGTAACAACTGTTTATGGAAGAACAAAAGAATACGTTGTGAACGATCTCGAGCCGCTTTGTTTGGCTCCGTCAACGCTCTTAGCCCAGTCTTTCGAGGCCTTCACTGCATCAAAAATGCATTATTTGCATTGTTCTTGTCGACCTGTGTTTCGCGTCGGAGCAACGGCCTCGAACGTGGCGCCAACTGACCACCGGAGCACGAACCAAGTCGGGGCCGCAGAAGAAAAACTGAGTGTAACACTCACTGCATGTATTGGGCAGACAAACCAGCATGATCGAGAGTAGCTGGCCAGGCGATGACGCAAAAACAGAGGGCAGATCACTTAAGAAGCACGGGGGCGGCGGGCTCCACGACATCAGGAACGCTCGCGGGAGCGGGATCGGCAGCGGGAGCGGCGGCGTCTACGTTGCCATCGGCTCCAGTAGGAATGGCATCTGACGTAGCCCGGTAGCCCCCCTCATCAGCCACCCAATTGACCTGGATGACCTGCCCGTCCGGGGCCTGGTACTGGTAGCTGCCCGACACGCGAAGGGTGCCCGTCTCCGGCTCGGGGCCCGGCAGGCTCTCGCCGGCGCTCTTCATGATGATGCCGTTGGAGGTCTCGACGTCGGAGCGGTAGCTGTTGTCGATGGCCTGCTCGAAGTCGTTCTTGATGGTCTCGGCATCTTTGTCAGAGCCGGGGACGTACTGGGCGGCGGCCACGGCCACCAGAACGGCGAACACAAACTGCGGAACGAAGATGTGACATTGAGTTGGCGGGCGCCCGTCGCTGTTGGTTTTGATTTATAGCCGGATGTCGATTACTGCACTCATATATTGTATCCCATCAGAACCAAATATGATGTTGAGTCAAAAGGCTGCATTGGTCACACAATTTTAGATTGACTATATATTAACCTCCCGGTTGGCTTGAGTTCTCACGAACTCTGACAAAAACTAGTATTTCACGAATATCCCGTCCGTCCGTGCCCTCCATAGCTTAGTTGGTAAGAACGGCCGCCTCGCGACTTGCAAACCCGTGGTAGGGTGGGTTCGAAGCGCTTTGGAAGCTCGTTATTTGCCCTTGACATGCATGGCCTGCAGTCGGTGGCAGAGGCCAGGCTGAAGGCTGGGTGAGGTCAGAGGGCAGGAAGGGCCGTGTCGGCCGTCGTGGCACGTCAAGTTCTATCACTAAATCCCTGACGTTGTCCTGGAATTGCGCAATCGTTAGGTAGGGACCAGGTTTCACTGAATGGGCAATGTCTAGCGTGAGCTCCTAGCATTGTTTAGATGAAATGTGTAACAAAAAAAGCTCGTTGAGGAAGCTGCGCGTACTCATGGAGGTTCGGGCGAATCATGGAACATGTCCAACGGAAAGCGCGAAAAGTAGTGTCAGCCGCCTGCAATTGTATGCCATGTTTGACAGTAGACTGCCGCTCACACTGAAATTTTTTAATGAACACAAAATGTAAGTTTACCAAACCGATGCTCTTGAAATTGGTGGCACTCTCAGCCATCGTATTATAGCGGTCATCTCCAAACTGCATAAAAGCTGCAATGCTCGTCTTTTCTGCATCTGTCGTCTTGGGAACAATACTTTTTGCAACCACAAGTTATTTGCCAAAAACAGGTCAGTGCTAGGGCTTATTTTGACAAGTCCAATCCCGTTAACTGCAGTTCCAAGGCTTTGCAACAGCGGATTGCACAACATTCTCTGAAATACAGCAAGTAATGTTTATCTAAAATTAGCAAACAAAAGGTGCTTACGTTATCAGGTAATATACACTAAGAACTGTGCGAAAGCCCAGGTTGTGTCCAATAAAGGTGAAACATGTGTTAGCTGCGATGTAAAAAGGCTTAAAATTTGTTGTGAATAATCATTGTAAGTATAACCTAGTGATGTAAACTTATGACACTTAACACAATTGACAGAAATGTAGGAAACAACTCTGCCAACGTTTGCATAGCACGGATTCAATTTAACATGCCAAATGATATATGCATATAGATATATGTGTGTGTGTGTGTATGTACGTAACAATCAAACAATTATAATCTGTATGAAGGTGAGAATAATCCAATATACTTTCAATATTAACGAATTTCGCCACCTCCACGGTAAGGATCTCAGTCAGTTTGGCAGGAACTGGAACTTGGATGAAAACGTAAAAAAGATTTCATGACAGCCCTCAAATCCACAGGCCGGTTCTACCAAGTCACCAATAAATATTTCCACAACAGTTGTCTTACTTCATGTAGTTGCTAGAAGGGAATACCGAGTGAGAGTCCTTTATCGCTTTCCAGTCGCCTTACGACGACGCGCACCTCTGGCTGCGCTGCTCAGCATAGACCATGCACGGGTCCCATCGCTCAGCACGGATCACGCCCGGGTCCCATCGCTCAGCACGGATCACGCCCGGGTCCCATCGCTCAGCACGGATCACGCCCGGGTCCCACTGCGGCACCATGTTGCGGCCAGTCCAGCCAATGACATGGTCACTCACCAGCTTCATGATGAACTCCTGGGTGTCACTGCGATTGTGTGCTGCCGCCACCGTCCGATCCCCTTATATACTGCGCTGAGACCGGTGTGAACCTGTTCCATTGGCTTTGCCTCATGCCTGGCGCTAATCCTCATCGTCTGCGACAGGTTTCGCCAGCCGTGGCGGACCTCATCCGCGCTGACGTAGGCGGTGGGGAACGCGCCGTCTGTCAAACACACCCAAGTCCTGGGTTAGTATTGATGTCCGGCTACGGGAAGCACGTCTCGGAGCAGCCTGGCGTGTTCGTGCGGCGCAGGGTATGGCTACTTCGCGATTGTGCTGGCGCTGTGGAGCTCATGGTGGCTTGCGCGGCTGCGTGACAAGGCGTATTTGTTTTGTCGCCTCTTCGTTATGTTACTTTAGTTGCAATGACATGTAATCTCGGTGGTCGCCGGTCCGTGGAAGTACGGTCTAGGTAAGGCCACCAGCACGAACATGGATCTGAAGCACGGTGTTAGCTTTACACATATATGAGAGCTTTCATGAAGTTAAAACGAATGTTTTTTTCTCTATATTGCCGGTTTTATGACCTCGTTCACTTGTTTAGCTGAAGACAATAATATTTCCTAAAACTACGCTTTCATTCCTTATTTGTGCGCAATAACTTTTAGTGCCTTCACGAAGCTTTTGGATTGTTTGCTTGTTTATATGAGCTTTAAATTTTAGGTTCACATTTCAAGGTGCTCATAGCCAAATCTTCATCTTTAGCTTTTAAGCGGGTGTTCCATATTTGTATGAGGATTCGAACTGAAACATCCATTTTGAAGATCATTAGGTGCAGCTCGCAGTCTTACCCTTCTTAACCCGCGCCGGGCCGAGGGGAGTTGACTTCCTCCTACGGTTTTACGAACACAGGTCAAAAACGAACGCTCGCAGCCATACGAAACTTTAAGTATCTGTTCATCTATCGATTTGACATCTTTTGTGGGAACTTGGAGCTCTGACCTAACAAGATCAGTGACCTTAGTCAGGTCAAAGAGGTCAACCTCTAAAAAATGTGACCACGCATAACTTTTTTGTGGGTCATTTAGCGCTGTTCAAACTGGGCATTTTCGGAAAATATGAGGTCTTTGACCTGAAGCCAGTTCAGCTGTTGTTACTTTTTAAAATAATTCAAGTTTGTACGTTTTTTGTGTAGTTTGGGTGCTGTATGTGAGGAAATGAGTTCTAACTTACCGCCGCAACTATCATAGCGACACAGAGCACATGACCTTGGTCTAAGTCATGACCTATCTCTATGGGTACCTTCTGAAAAAAACATGATAACTTAAAAAGAGGCAGTTCATAAGTTATTTTGGAGGGCAGATCTTGAATATTCCACTGAAAGCGTGTTGAAATAAAGTCATAATGCATTTTGAGACCACGAAGGGTCATGCAATGACATATGAGGTCATCCAAGGTCAATGACCCATATTACCAGTAGCAGAGAGGCTAGATGACCAGTGCGACGCGTGTGACCACCCCGCTATCATGTATGTAAAGCTGATGACGTCTTATTTCATGTACCAACGCACCTGTTCTCAGTTCCTTACAAATGCATTGCAAAGCGTCGAAGGGACTGTGTATTAGGTAGACAACAGCTATGCGATCTTGAGTACCTAAAGATGTTCAAAACACTATCTATGACCAGAAAATAAATATTGTACTGGCCATATCGGGCCAGCTAGCACTTAGGATTTTTTGGTATTGGATAGTTTATAAATTTGACGTAGCTTGACCTCAGACGACCCGTAGACTACCATAAAATGATATTTTTGTGTCTGGAATACCTTGGCTGCACCTAATAAAATCAGCTTAGTCAAAAGCACATTGTGATGAAAAGTACCGTTCTTGAAGGCTATTCATGGACCAAATTTGACCTGTGACCTTTTCTGACCTGAGCCATATGGAAGAACAGAAATGGTCGAAATGTACTCTCCACAGTCTTTATGCTTATTTCCACGCTCTCACTAACCGTCTTGACGTGTTAACACGCGCCCGGATGGCTGGCTGGATACCATTCGCTCGGGTGGGGGGTCAACTGAATTCCCCTGAGATCTGAGAAATCAAAAGAGCTAGAGACACCAAGTCTACAGGGTGTGCTGGCCTGTACCTGAATTTATTTATATCAAAGTTTAACATGGACTTTGTGTGAATAATGTCAAACAGGGTCAATTTTCAGTTTGGTCTCCTAAGTGCTCGCAGAGTCCACATACCTGTTCTAAACAAAAGGTCTATGCTCATTTAAGGTCGGTAACCTTGTTAGACTTGTCGAAGTTCATTGCGACCAAAATCATATAAGACTGCTTAAGCGAAAAAGCCTGCACTAGGCATTATATTCCTAAAAACACAGTGTTGACCTGGATCATTCTAGATCAGTGGCCTATTCTGACGTTTAGGAAGTCCACGGAAGATGTACAATACGGTTCTTGTTATCCATCACTTAGAAATGAGCACCAGAAACTGCCCCAAACAGCAAGCACAGAGTAATAAAACAGATTGGTGGCTTTGGCCTTGGTCTGACACTTAAAACTCACTGTAGGTCAACGGAATTTGTTCATCCAATTGTAGTGTTGCCTAAGAAAGCATTACAAAGATATATGGTTTCGTTTGACACTCCGCTGTCTCATCAGATTAAACAATTCCCTAGAAATTACCGTCGCTGAAATCATCGCCTGACTTTGACCTGCCATAGGTCAGCAACCTTACAAGATACATCTAAATGTTTAATACTAAACGATCCATCATGCAGTTGTCTACCGCTATGCAAAATTGGGCACGGCGTGGCCGTGCCGTTTGTATACCGTTCTGGAAAAACCTTTTGGGGTTCAATGTGACCCCACCCGAACGCGTGTTAGCAGGTTTTAGCTGCCTCTACTGGACCAACCGTTTTTTACCTTTCATGGTCTCTGGTGGCGTCAAGTTTGACTTAAGATCAACGACTTGGGGTGCATGCTTCGTGAATTAGCGAGACCTTTAAAGTCAGTATCTTTGTTTTTCTCATATGATGCCTGGAAGTTGGAGATCCCAGGGGAAGTCAACCTCCCCCGGCCGGGCGCGAGTTAAGCCTTAAACCCCTGTTTCTGAGCTACACACCCAGGAAGATGTGTAGGCTTTTTCGAGGAGGCTATTTCAAGTCACCCAGACAACCATGACGTCATAATGACGTCATGCAAATATTGTCATTCCATTAGCCCTGCGGCGACCAAACGTTGTCGAGGCGTTCACATATCGGAGGTCCCAATGCGTTCGTGAGCACGATTTCCAGATATAACGGCTGTCATTTGGCTCCCAACATAAAATACCGCCAATTGCCACTCAATAAATGTCGCGCAAGGCGCGGTGACGTAAGCAAACAATGACGTATTGAGGAGCATATTTACTAAACAGAGAAATGGTGTCGTTTGGAGCAGTCTTTCAACTTAAAAGTAGGACGATAGTTATAAGCACGGGTGTCCATTTGTATTCTTGTATGGGAGCTCTGCCCCCCCCCCCTCAATGTTGAGTTGGCCCCCCAATGTTGGCTTTCCCCCCCAATGTTCTTGGCTGGAATACTACAAAAAAACGTGGGTAAAAAAGATTATCATGACACAAAAACTATCTTCTTTGATCTTTCTGCTTCGTAGCGTTTCGTACAACTCTCATGACAAAAAGTCATGGCTGCTCTCACCCCAAGATACAAATCGTATCGGCTGAGCGGATAAACGATACAATAAACTATATATACCTAGCGCCATAAGGCACGCAATTGTTTGTGAGGTTAAAGTGAAAAGCTCTGGAATATGGGGATGACCTAAATCCTTTTTGGCTAACCCCGTCCCAGTCACCCACAACCAAAATGCGTTCCGCAATTCATGACCGTCATAGAAGAGCGCTATCGGCGCCCTAAGGTGGCCTCTAAAGGGACGTTTTCACGTGCCGATCAAAGAGACGCGTGCGTCCAGTGCCTGCTCCCTGGATCCAACCCTGCATGACTTCTATGCTGCTTTAATTGAATAATTTTGTAAATCATAAAAATATTAAATCTTTGTATAATATATTGCGTCCAATCCAGAAAAAGTGGGCTTAATCCGGTGAGAAAAAGTAGGGGCTAGGTTGTTGGGCCTTCGGTTCAGCCCACCTTAAGTTACAAAAACTGACAGTCCTGGTTATAAGTGGGCGTACTTCATCATATCCGATACTTGCTTCGATATCCTGAAATTTGGAACGTTCCCTTAAGCCCTGCCAGAGGTCCCATCGCTGAAACAATTATAGCCAAAGGGCAGGCGTGGCTTCAGCAGCACTGGCATCAGCTGAACGCACCTACAAACGAGGACAGGGGCGTATTTATTCCGATAGATAAAACATGCCGCTTCTTGTAAAAATGTGCTGCTTGGCTATCAAATCAGAGAAGCTGTCTTACTCTGCTCCTGCAACTACTGCTGTGGACATAACCAGTAGGTGGGTAAACATAGCAGTAGTCAACACGGCGATAGAAGTAAATACTGCAGCAGAGTTCCGAACAAGTTTCAACAAAGTTTCGGACGTGTTTCGTTTTAGAGGGTGAGGTGCTTTTGCAGATATTCTTACACATACCTGAACTCTTATAGTTCAGGGACGGCAAACTCCGGGTGGCACTAACATGAGAGTTTAGTTATTAACGTGGCAACATACTTGGATACAGATTAAGGTCGATATTCGTCCGTCGCTAGACGTAATTGGCTTGAAAATCTGCTTACAAACGCCAATGCGCGACCTTCTGGTCACATGTATTGCATAAATTGAGCAGAAATGAACTAAGTAGTACGCAAACTAAGGCTAACAGATACTTCCGACAGGCTGGACGTATTTTCAAAACAAGTCAGGTCTTTTTTAACAGACATTTTTACGCGCTACACAAGCAGAAGAAGCTGAGAACGGCAAGGCCTAGCATGTGACCAATAACAAGAAGAAAAGTTGAAGACAGACAAAAGCGGCAGGAAGTTGTTGTGAATTTGGTGAGAAAAAACCTTACCATAATGTCGTCTTTGGGTATTTTTTGTAAGACAGGATGTCGATTTTGTACATGAAATTCTTAAGGTCAGCCTGATCAAACATGAGAGGCAGCCTCTCGCCCAAATGAACGGTTACGAGGAGAGCTTCCCCGATCCTGCGCATTTAATCTGATTGCAGGTCGTAATAGGGGAACAGACCTCATTATAATAGGGTGAAAGACATCAACATAAAAAGAAGTGAAGAAGCCTTCAAAACACACAAAACGTGACCAAAAGTTGAAACAGACCAGGTTTAAGGTTAACGTAGCAGGTATTCTGCCCAAAGTGTTCGGTAGAAAAGGAATGGTACTCCAGCATCCTAACGATGAGATGAAGCAAGGCCAAATTATGTGGAGAGACCGATGTGATTTTTGTTGGCCGGTGTGATAGCTTTTGAGAAAGAACAAGTTAATTTAAGTAAGATTGGCCCCATTTAACCATCGGGGTATAAAGTTACCCGGACAGTGATATCAAAAATATTTATCAGCAGCCGTTCAGTTTCGGAAAACTAAGCATGAAACGAAAGGAGACACTAACAACGGGAATACATCAGGTGCTTGATGTATAACGCTCAACGTTCACTATATTCGATGAAATTTCGTCAACTCAAGTGCTACATTCTCGAACAAAAATCTGATTCTGTTTGCATTGCTGGGACGTAAATTAGTTAAGAATGTCTTGTAGTTGAGGGTTCCAATGACAGGTTATCACCCTTCAGTAAATTGACTAGGCAGCATTGTTAAAAGACGACGCTATAGAGAAAACGACATTACAAAGCAAACGCTGGTCGCACTGACGGTTATCGACGTTTCGAAGTGTGCTTATGATGACAAGTGATGGTAACTGAAGGTCGATAACCCAGCATAAGACATCTGAATTTGTGCCAAAAAATGAAGTCATAACAAAAATAGAGGTTTTTCATGCATCATGTACGAATGTTTTTGGGAGGCTTGCCGCAATAATTGAAATCCAGGAGCATAGTATGCTTGCATTTGACTTTGCAGAAACCAGTATGGTCGCGCTAGTTCGACCACATTTCCTTACAATTTGGATGAAAATTTTCCTTTCCAACTTGCCGATATGGCAAAATACCATGATTGATTGCTCACTGGTTGATAGCTCACCTGTGTCCCAAAGGTAGTCACGGATACTTATATTGTTAAATTAAGCAGAATTAATTGTGGTCATCTGTCCGATAGGAAAAAACCTAGATGACATGTTTCACCACTGTTCATATCGAAGCAATGCATTGGCACTGTCTGCCTCCGCTCGCTTGTATGCAAAGCAAACGAAAAGGCAAGTCCATGCCAGGTACGATAAATAAACGATGGAACTGAAGGACGAACGAATAAATGCTAGAGTAAGCGTTCTATCCAAACCATACAGGCCCACCTGCGGGCACCAGTTGGACAAGTACAGCGTGCGTAGGACGTGTGCATTTCTTGTCCTGGAACTTATCTTTTCAATGGGAAATTGTGTGTAAAATTGGGGGAAAGATAGGCATTATTGCTACACCGCACTTCGAAAAGTGACTGCCATGGCCACTCCAGCAGCGATCTTTTACCCATGAGGTTCGCAACAGGTGCAAAACCATGTGGTAGCTTAAGTTAGCTCAACTGTGTCCCAAAGGCAGTCACGGATACGATACTTCTATTGCTAAATGAAGCAAAATTAATAGTGGTCATCTGTCTGATAAGCAGCGATATCAAGCATAAAATCAAATCTGGATAGCATTAACCGGTTGGCCGGTTGAATACCACTCGCTCAGGTGGGGATCAATTTGGGCCCTCAGATCTCAGGAACTAAGAGAGCTAGGCACACCAGATTTACAGGGTGTATTGACCTTGTAGGTAAACTCACTTAGATCAAATTTTGATGCTCCTAGGTCATGACCTTCGGGTCACATAGGGTCAAAGATGGTCAAACTCCTGGTTGGTCTCTGAAGGGTGCCTAAAACATAGATAACCGCTCTAAACAAAATGTCAAGCGTTCATTTAAAGCCAATGGCATTGTTTGACCATTTAAAGGTCATGGCGACAAAAATCATACAAGACTGATTTGAGTTTTGCATTTGAATAAGTGCCAAACATTTTGCTAGACAGGATGTTCATAAAAACAAGATGTTCACCTGGGCCATTTTAGGTCAGTGAACTATTCTGACCTTTAAAAAGTCCATGGAACATGTATAATGCTGTTCCTGTTGTAAATAAATTCGAAATGGGCGCCAGAAACTGCCCCATGCATGAAACCTTAGAGTAATAACACAAGGTGGGTTTTGAGCTTGGTCTGGTCTTCATACCTGCCTCTAGGTCAATATAATTATTTCATTATATTGTTGTGCTGCCTAAGAAAATATATCAAAGATGTATGGCTTCATCTAACACTCCGTTGTTAGATCAGATTGAGCAAGTCCCTAGAAATTGCCTTTGTTGAAATCATGGCCCGACTTTGACCTGCCATAGGTCAGCGACCTTACAAGGTACATCTAAATTTTTGATGCCAGACGATTTGCTATTCAATTGTCTACAGCTAGCAAGATTTATTGGGACCACGCCGCGCCGCAAGGGAACCATTCCAGAAAATCCTTCGAGGGGTCAACTTGACCCGAACCGAGCGCGTGCCAATGTGTTTCAAACATATGGGAGCAGATGATGGAGCTAACCTGGCGTTCATGTTTTTACGCACTCTGTGATAAAAGATGTATTCCGACTAAGATGTTACTTGATGGAACCGTATTGTAAGATTGCATTCGTATGTTTCTACATATTTTACCTGACGTCAGTGCTTAGGCTTCTAGCCGCTAGGTGGGTTACGTACGTATGTGCCAGGACGGTTGCATCATAGTACCCACTATCAGCTGTGAAACAGGTAAAACGCACAATGGTTCGGATAATGACGCGATACATTGCAGAGACTAGAGCATTCCTAACAGTGCGGATGCTTTTACAATGAGACGTTCCGAAGAGCTGATTTCTTTGCCGCAGCAAGATCTCCTGCAGGGCAAAAGCAATGTCACCCGAAAGGAGAGAGCAACATGATTTTAGAAGGTACCAAAGACGGGTTTCTCAGGTAATATCGAGTTGAACTGTATTTCTACATGTATGCCCAAGGAAACATCACAAGCGCCACACAACACTATTGAAGCAAGTTAGCCCGAGCCGGCCTAGCAGTCAATACCGACAACCTGTTCACGCATGTCGCAGTTGACACCTGATGCTCCCGTCCACAACGCGCCCCATTTGTACTTCTACCTTATTTTCTGAACCGCTCGCACAGACGCTGGTGAGATATCCTGCGGCATTTGCAGCAGCATATGATGGCTACTATGAAACGGTGACATCGGTGCCGCGTGAACATCGAAGGCCAAGGAGTATAGTTCCCAGCGCGCTAATCTCGACCAGTATCGTGAGTCCTACAGCTCTAACAAGCATATGACACCACAGCACATGTGTCGTCCCACTTTCAAGTTCTTACAGATCCGCGCATGCGCGGTCCGGAAGTTTACAGCAATCACCACTTTTAAGCTCTCGTGTCCATGAAGATCCACTCGTTCACATTCTCGGCACGGCCGTTCCCCAGAAAAGTCACAGCGAGTCAGCAACGACACGTCGATTTCATCGAGCACCCCTCACGGGCCTGCAACTCTCACCAGGTCCCAGGTCACCTTTCACCAGGTCGCATGTCAACTCTTACCAGGTCCCAGGCCACACAAGTCAGGTCTCCCCCAGTTAGAGGTGCTTCCCGCCGAATGCAAACCTGGTGTCACAACCCGGCCAAGCAGAGGGTCTCGCATCCTGCTCGATGAGCCACCGCAGCACCAAGCCAGGTCGCACTTTGAAATTGGACTGCCCTCTGACGCGTTCGCGTGCTGATTGTAGATCACTTGAGAATCCCTGAGTATATCTTGTGAGGTCTTAATGCAACAGGGAGTGTTCTTAGCCACTTGCATATGCTAGGAGTTCCTGTCAAAAATAACACGCAGGCTTCAGACAAGCTATTTGGAGCATGACGGTAAGCGTGTTCCGTGTACCAGGGATGACAACCAAAGGCAGCGTAACGACCGCCTCGAGACGTCGTGCACGCAGGTGGCAACAACTCGAGACGTAATGCACGCGGGCGGTAACGACTCGAAACGTCACGTACGCAGGTAGTAACGGCCGTCAATATGGTGCGCTTTCCATATAAAATGCCTCTTCTAACATCCCACAGTGCCTTCAGAAGCCACAGTCGCATCAGAGGGCTCACGCTGTCTGGGTAATATCCACATGCACGTCTTCACCGTGCTTCGCACATTCGATCATCCAGTCCTATGGAACGTGGCATTCTCCTCAGTTGTGCCAATCTGCCGCGCAGTCACGCACTTACGAAGCTTTAGAAACAAAACGCTCCTGAAGAAAAACAGACGGTTTTGTCAGAGAATTTAAAGCATTAAACGATATGCATGCGCAAGGTCTCAAAAGGTGTTTGAAACCAGCTGGGAGACATAAGTGCTTAATATCACCTCATGCCACAGCCATTAGCCTTCCTACAGCAACAGACATTTTCCGACGGATAGTTCGACGAGTCGATCTAGGCAGACAGTACTTTTCTGTTAACCAGGGCACAAGCAAATCCTAGCGGCTTACACACGTGATCCTGGCTGCTCATAGTCGGCTAAACGGCAAGAACAGTGCTCGCAAGATTTGTATGATCATCCCGGACAGTTGCGGCAGACCGACGCACGGCTCTGGGCGGGTATAACAGCGCAGCGCAGTAAAGTACAACACCTCATAGCTGCTGCCACCTCGTCCTGGGCTACAATCACACCTACCATGGAACCAGCCAGGCCAGGAGCCCAAACTTCCAAAAAACGGTTTCCAACTTCCAAACTTCCGTTGTACAGTCCGGCCACCGCGGGCAGCGCTCTTCACGATCCACCGCGGTTGCGGTGCGTCACAGCTCGCCGCATCGTCCCTCGCGCGGCGGCGCTGGACGCCGGGATAACGATGAACCCAGCACAGCTGCGGCAGCCCGTCACACCGTCCTCGGCAGGTGCGGAAGCCCGCCGGGGCGCCTGAGCGCCGTCCGCAGTCGTTCCCAGAAGAGCTGCTGCTGCTGCGCGCTGGGCCCCCACTCGATGTAGATGCGCGTGCGCATGAGGTAGCGGATGGTGGGCGTGAGGTGGCGCCTGCGTATCTTGCCGAGCTTGACGAGGATCAGGTCGTCCCGCGTCTGCTCGAACAGCCGGCACTGGACGAGGTTCATCTCCCAGCGGCACCAGTGCGACTTGGCGAAGTGGTCCGTGAGGATCAGTATCGTCTTCCTGCAAGGGGCGGGGGGTCAGTCAGCGCCGGGCTGCGATCGGTGATCGGTCAGAGAAGCGGCGCTGGGTCAGGCGGACTGAAATGCACCACGCGGAGTCAGAGATAGAGGGTCAAAAGAGCTCACGACTGGGCAGGACAGATCAGTGGTGATATGATCAATCGATAGTGAGTAGAGATCAACGGTGGGCCACAGTCAGGCACTTTGTTTTATGACGTTCACGCGTTAATGAAGTAAAATCATGTAAATCGACAAGATAAATAAACACAAATGACGATGGTAATAGAGTAAACTAGGCAATGTGGTAGAACAGTGCTGTTGGAAAAATATAATTGTAAATTTGTGCCTCGGCTAATACATTTGTCCTTGCTACGGCACACACAGGCCAATGCTCGTCTATGACTACTGCAGCTCCACTAGGTGTGGTGAAGAAGTATGCGATGTGTTTGCTGTTTCGTCGGAGCACGGCCTTGATGCAGAGCGTCATGGTGACAGCTTTAGTGCAAAGGTGGACAATTGGACGTGTAGAGCATCCCAATGAACATTCATAGCGAAAGGTGCTCTCAGTTCCGATCGTACAGAGGGCCGTAGCGTGGGCACACCTGGATGTTGTGATGCTCTCCAGTATGCACTCGCTTATCACATTTCCTATCTCAAAGTCCCTCTCGTAGACACACAGACGGTAATATGGGCTGATTTTTTCAAGATTTTCGATCATTTCCAGAACAAAGTCGGCGTCTTCGCTCGAGTAGCTGACGAATGCGTCGTACAGGTATCCACTGGAGTCCTTTCGAAGCTTCTTCACCCACCGCTTCGATGTCAGCTGGAAAGACGGTCCACAGATAGGCGGTTAGTTGGCATAGAAGCTCTGTTGCATTGTAGGGATTTTGCCTACATTGTAGGGAAAAGGACGCAGTAAATGTGAGCACACGACTGAAGCATGTGGAGAAAGACCAATTGGCTGTGGTACTGAAACAGACAAACCATTGTTGCATGTGCGTGGTTGGAAGCATTCAGATATTTCGAAGCAGCTCGAGCCCACCCCACAGGGTTTCTTAACATCGGCATTGGGCTATGAGTGTTGTGTAGAAAGTACTGGCCACAGATTGGAACATGCGGTGAAAATATTTTCAAAATTTTAAGCTGTTGCCAACCGATTATGCGTATAACGCGTCAGTTCATGTCTGTAAGATATGAAAGATGTCCAGGAAACTAAAATAGAACACTAATCACGGTGGTAAATATTACTAGCTTGCCTTGAATAGCCAGTAGCGCAGGTACCAACGGTTTCTGTACAGGAGCCGAATCCCCACAGCAACCAGCATTCCTGTAAGAATGGTACGGATGCATGAAAAAAAGAAAGCCAAAAGTAGAGCCCCGGCAACTCGCGCAAGTGTCCACCAAAATAAAGAAGACCTACGTTTGCAACACCCTTTATGCTATGGTTCTGTCAGTGAGCCAACAGCTTACAGTTATCTCATGCTCAAAGGATATGATTCAAACGGGATTTAGTGACGATATCTTTTGAAGCCGTCAGTATCTGGTATTTATTGTTCTTAGGCGTTAATAAGTCACGCCTGTCTTATTTGCACACTGTGAGTGTATCGTTGCTTATATTTTGCATCCTATTGTCTTCAATTACAGCCAGAAAGACGCTACATACGATATAACGGTTAAATGTGTGTGAAGTCGACGTAAACAGGACAAGAGGCTTGGCCCGCGTCGGTCGCGCACTGCACTGGTTATCAATATAAAGTTGCGCATGCGCCGGTTGGTGAATATGGCTGGGACCAGGCTTCAGGGCAGATAAAGCTCAACTAAAAATGCTGTTCATTCCCGGAGAAACTGGCCCCACTCTACTTCAATCATACATCACGTGCGTTGCACGAGACTAGGGCGTAAAACGCGACGACAGTGCAAAGTTATGGTGCGTCTGCACTTTCCCCAAACACGGAGCTCCCCTTAAACACTTGACGCAACGACGGACGCATCAGCTCACCTGACCGCACCGGTGCGCACAAATAAGAAGCGCCAGGCTACCCGCCGACTCATGTTAATGCGCGAGTCATTGGTGTTGCTATCGAGTCATGCTAGTGCACGAGTCATTGGCGTTGCTATCGACTCATGTTAATGAGCGAATCATTGGCATTGCGATCGAATCATGTTAATGCGCCAGTCATTGGCGCTGAGCCGGTCTGCGAGCGCTCATGAGCCGTGAAAGTCTTCTGCGGCGAACAGAGACCTGCCAACGCCAAAGCTCACCGCTGACGGCGACCGGCAGCAGGGTGAACAGCATCCTCGTGGACGGCTCGACGGCGCAGGGCGACTTGTTGGACAGGCTGTAAAAGTCGAGCACGGAGATGTTGCGGAAGACTCGCGGACTGTCGCACACGCAGTCCTTGATGTCAGAGGTGACCGGATACAGAACACCGTAGCTGGGACTGTTCGCCTCCTCCCAGAGGAGCCACTCGTACAGCTCGCACGTGCACCTGTACGGGTTGAAGCCGAGCTTTAGCAGGCGAAGGTTCTGGAAGTCGTCGACCATGGCGGTGGTGACGTGCGTGATGGAGTTGTGGCTGAGGTAGACCCGCGTGAGGTTCGGCGGGAAGTCAAATACGCGCTCCTCCCACGGCAAGAGGTCGTTGTGAGACAGGTCTACCGCGCTGAGGAAGCGGAGGTGACCAAACGTGGCATGCGTCAGAGTCTGAATGAAGTTGTTCTTCATGTTCAGGATCTCCAGGCGGGGTGTCTCCCTCAGGTACAGGTCTGAAGTCGATATTGTGCAGTTGTCGAGAAAGAGGACGGCCAACTTGGTAAGACCTTGCCAAGTGTACTCGAACACCTGGTTGTTGAGTGGATTGTTGCTGAGATACAGCTCCGAAAGGTTTTCCATCATACTAAATGTGAAATTGGCAACTTGGCGAATTTCGCTGTTCTTCATCATCAGAACGGTTAGGTTTTCGAGCCCGACAAAGGCGCCTCGCTCCAGGTTTACGATACGGTTGTTCGACAGGTCTAGGTATCTCAAATTTACCATGTCGCGGAAGCGATACTGGTATAAGCTGAACCTGGAGAAGTAGGGCAGCTGCTCAGAACGTGACAGGTCCAGTGAGTGCAGGTTCGGCAGGAGAACGGCCGACGGCACGTAGGAGAGATAGTTGTCGCTGAGGTCCAACTGCTCCAGGGAGACGAATTCTTCAAAGGTGTTCTCGTAAATCACGGAGATCCCACACTGAGCCAATGTGAGGACTTTCAGTTTGTCCAGCGCGGGAAAATGGATTTTGAACAGGAAGGGAAAGCAGTAGTGATTCAGCTGGAGGGCGGTGATGCTGCTGTTTGCTATAGCGTCCAGAACCGGTCTGAGTTCCACTATGCTGTACTTGCCGATCATGGATAGGTCAATTACCTCCAGTGTGCTATTTTGCATCGCTGTGATCATTTCCACCACCTCTGCAATCTCCAAATGATTACGCCGCAATCTAAGCCGTCGTAAATGCTTCAGGTCCTTAAAGGCGTACGGTTCAATGTGCTGGATGCGGTTTTCGTGCAGCTGTAGATCCTGAATTGGTACGTTCCTCATTGCGGCGAAGTCCTGTCGCCGAACGACGGAGAAATTGTTGCCACCGATACTGAGATGTAGCAGTGATGGCGCCGTGATAGCCGTCGTAGCACGGGTCACCATAGAAAGATTGTTAAACTTGTTGTAAGACACCAGTAGCTCCACCAGATTGCTGGCGCCCTTTAGAACATTCTCCCCCAGGTCGGTCAGCCTGTTCTGCGACAGGCTGAGGTTGCGAAGGCTAGACATGTTGAAGAAGGCTCCGTCGTCGATGCTGCCCAGCTGGTTGTTCTCCAGCTTCAGGACTGACACGGCACGGAAAAATTCGAGGCTGTGCGCGGCCAGGTGCGAGATGTTTGTCTCGCTGACGTCAAGGATGCCGGAAGGCACCTTCGTTTGCGGCAGCGTGTCGCAGAAGCTCGTCTTGCCGCTGCACGTCGTTTCGTCCTTGTTGACCAGACACTTGCACAGCGCCGCCGCCTGGTCGGCTAGTGGCCGTCGCCGCCGTTCCTCGGCGCTGAACGTGCCCGCGTCCAACAGTCCGACCCTCAGCGCCTTATGCAGCGCCTGGCGCGCCAGGAGCGCGTCCAGCCCGTCGATGAAGATCTGTTCGGCGGCGGCGTCCTCCTTTTCCCCCGGTGCCAGCTCCTGCTCGTCGTCCAGTGGCAGGCCGTCGTCGTCTAGCTCGCAGGATTGACACCTGTCTTCCGAGGATTCGACGCCGTCCAGCGCGGCCGTCGACGAGGCCGGCATGGTGGGGTCATAACTGCAGTCGCTGACGAACGCCCGCGAGGAGCGCGGCGCCGGCGACACGCGCACCACCTTTACCATCGTCAGCTCCAGCAGGTCGTCATCGGAGAGGCTCGAGGTGTCCGGCATCAGCGTCAGCTTGACCGTCTTTGGCAGCGTACCGTTCCAGGGCCTGCGTCCGATGGGCGGGAGACGAGGCGTGGCTAGGTAGCTGCCCTGGGTCTCGCTTGAGAACGCCCCTGTCGCATTGTGGGGCGACTCCGTGCTGTTAACGTCGACATCGATGACCTGTGTCGAGATGTTGCCCAGCGGCACCGGCGAAGAGTTCTGCGAGGTCACGAAGAGGAAGAGCACAACTCCTAGGAGCATCCCCTCGGGCCATCCTGGGGACACAGAGAGGGGCAGTGTAACCATGATGCGTCGCAAACGCGTCGCAATATTAATGATGTGCGTGAGCTGTACTCCACTTTTAGCAACGCTCCTGGGCAACACCAGCCAGACTGTCGCACATAAGTCGTTTTTCTATACGAAAATGTCGAATACAAAATGCATCAGGTATGGAACCCGATATACTTCTGCGTCTGGTGTTTTTTTTCACGAGCACGTCAGAGACGAAAGCTAATCTTAGCTGTTGTTGGTTGGTTTGAGTGGGGCTGCTTGGTAAGGTGAATGCCCATTGGCGTGGGTGGCGCATTTCGAGACAATGGGATGAGGGAGCTAAGCACCTTGTTGAATCGCATCGATTCCGCCTTAACCAGATCCCAAAGCCCATCCCATAACTGCTTCACATGAAGCTGACGGATTTCTGCGGGTGCCCAGGCGAGCTAGGAACCCAGGCTGTTCTTGGTCAAGTATGCTCCTCGATGTGAGAAAGCCTGGCATAGTAAATTATTATGGTATGGTTATGGATGTCGGGCGCCAAAGACTCAATTTCTTGTTACAGGCTCATTTGTCATCGTATTCAATATGAGTTCCCACACAAGGCAAAGTGAGGCATGGGTCGAAACGTGATGCACCCATGTGACTGAATGTTTGGGATAGCTTTCTTCATGGTCGTTGAGGGCACGTGATCAATTAATCATTGAAGTACCGATAAGGCGCAAATTATTGTATTATTATCATTATTTTATCACATAATTTAAAAAAATATATTCTGTGCTGTCGGCGTCTCAACCATCGTCCCCATCCTCCCCTCCAAGCAAACCTAAGTAGAAAAACTGTCTTCATTTTATATTGAATGAGCACAGTAAAGTAAAAATTATTCCTGCAAACTTCTCAAATTCCGTGCAAGTTCAGGCACTTAACAAGTGGACCGAGCACACCCTACCATGAGCCAGGTGAGCACCAGGTACGTTAACGTGGATATTGGGTGACGGAGCCACCAGATCAGTGTTTCTCGGAGTCATCATATCAGCGTTTGTCGGAGCCATCAGATCAGCATTTGTCGGAGCCATCAGATCAGCGTTTGTCGGAGCCTTCAGATCAGCGTTTGTCGGAGCCTTCAGATCAGCGTTTGTCGGAGCCATCAGATCAGCGTTTGTCGGAGCCACCAGATTAGCGTTTGTCGGAGCCACCAGATTAGCGTTTGTCGGAGCCATCAGATCAGCGTTTGTCGGAGCCGTGAGATTAGCGTTTTGTCGAAGCCATCGCATCAGCGTTTGTCGGAGCGATCAGACTGACGTTTGTCGGAGCCTTCAGATCAGCGTTTGTCGGAGTCATCAGAGCAGCGTTTGTCGGAGCCACCAGATTAGCGTTTGTCGGAGCCATCAGATCAGCGTTTGTCGGAACCGTGAGATTAGCGTTTTTGTCGAAGCCATCACATCAGCGTTTGTCGGAGCCATCAGATAAGCGTTTGTCGGAGTCACCAGATAAGCGTTCGTCGGAGCCATCAGATCAGCGTTTGTCGGAGCCGTGAGATTGGCGTTTTTCGAAGCCATCACATCAGCGTTTGTTGGAGCCATCAGATTAACGTTTGTCGTGGCCTTTGTGTAAGCGCGCTTATGCCAAGCAGACGTTAGTATTTCAGTTGCACCGGAGCTCCAGATCGCCGTAATGATATCGTTAACGTAGTCGTTAGTAGGCTTTCTTTCACTGAGCTCTGCATTAAGTTCGAACATATGTGAAAACAAAATACGATGAAGTGAAATATTGTTTTCAAGATATGTGCTCCCATGGTTTTAAACATTGGGTAGTTTTGTGTAAATTTCTTTCAATTTTTTTCTCGGCAAGATCGACTTCATTTATTTTCCAGTCAAGGTACCAGTCGAACATTACTGAATACAGAGCATGCGATCCACATAACCACTCGGAAATATTTCTCCTTCGGAATCAATTTCACTCAAACCACGATTTAAATCACAGCGAGCTTTGTTCATTCGCTGTTGGTAGTTCAACGCTGCTAAAGAGACGTAGCATGCAAGAACGACGCACATCCGCCACCGGGGACTGACCGCTGCGCATGAACGTGAGCTCCCGACTTCCGACGGGCCCGTTATCTGGCGTGTCACTATCTGCGCTGGCCGCCGCGGGGGGCGATGGCGCTGGCCCTGTGTCGCGTATCTGTATCGGTCGTATCAGCAGCACAAAACACGACGGAGTCACTGTGAGCTCGCGCGGAGGCGGGAGGGGGGGGGGGGGGGGGAGCTCACAGCCAGACGCTCTGCGCGGGGTCCGGTGTACTAAAGGGAGCGTGCCACCTTAGGGATGGGGAGTGCGCGGCAGAATCTGCTCTAATGACGTCTCAGGGTCGGCCATATCTTGGAATGCATTGTGTGGCGTGCAGCTGAGTGACCATCATAAAGTAAGCGAATTAGGTTTATTTATTTCGAGTCCAATGACTGGGTCCAATATGGAATACAGCCAGGTCATTTAACTAAGACAATCAGCAAACTAATTTTGATTTGACTTTCGATTATAGCTTTTGAATAAATTCAAGACCAATTTAGTTGTGATCGAGTAAAATAATTAATTAATTACGTTCAAGCCTTAAGTCCGAAATCTTGAAACCGGCATGAAGCTCAGCGTCCCGCGCAGGGGTGAAAAAGTGCCTTTTCGAAACGAACGAAACGACAAATCTTGGAGCCTCTTGAACTGTCACCAGGAGCCAAATCTATCAAACACTGTTGTAATATAACTCTGAGTAAGAGAAACCACAACAACAAAAATAAGTGAAATGCAATGCGACGTAGCCATTAAACATGTTCTTTTCGAAAGCTCATTTGTACTTAAGTATCATTTGCTGGCCATCAAACTCTGAATGATGTTTGAGAATCACGTAACACAATTATCAGATAAAGGCATACTTAACGGAATCAGCCTGGAGGCGTATAGTTTACTGTCCTGTGAGAGGGCGGTTGATTGTACCTCTTAACCAGGGATGTAGTCTCCTCTTTGTATTTATCATATATGTTCACTATTTTTCATTAATAATCATTTTCTGATCTTCAGCCCCCTCGCCTTGCTCAAAAGAATCGAAACACTATGCCCCTGCTCTTAAAAGGAGACCGTTAAATCTCGGGAAGAATCTGTTTGAAGTGCATCTTGAATGCAGGCTCAGTCATTTTTCGTTCTTGTAATGAAGTCTACTCTGTCGTAATTCGTTTATCTATCGCAATTTGTTCACCAGTTGGATTGCACAAGTGTCCGTTTTTGTCACCGATCATACCTGGTAAATTAGAGGCTTTTTCACCACTGGTCACGTGGCGAAATGCTATTTGACGAAGCGTCGGGCCAGAGAGGCTTTGTCCACTAACATGACGTCACATGGCAAACGTATACGGACTAAATTCAACTTTCATTTGAGCATTCAGTGGCATCACTGGTGCTAATGTTTTTAAACACTTGTGCAGCCGTATTTTCGGCGAAAACAGGTGAAGACCTTATTAACAGGTCATTGTTAACTCCCCAGGTGTCAAGCATATTACAATAGATGTCTAACGATTATATTTCGAGTCAAGGATGCGCACGCTGTGTACAGCACAGGCCAATGCACACACGGACCCCGTGTGTTCGCACACAGAGTGTGAGGACGGGAGCCTTAGTCGGCCGGAGGCAGCAGATAACGATGTTAGGTAATATGCGGATCTCGAGATTACCTTTGTGCAAACAGGAATGTTTCGACAAGCGCTGACCAGCCGGTACTGGCTCCACTTGAATGGAAAATTCTGGTTCGGCGCATCATAAAATTTTACCACGTTTTTTTAATGGCACTTCGAGTGTTGTTGCCATGACAGGATAAGTAGTTCAAATAGTCGGATCCTTTCAATACCTTCTAAATGGATTAAAAGGTCTTTAACAAATCCATATCCGTTTTGAACGCAGCCAGCCGGTAGCCCTGCAAAAATCTTTTTATCGAGAGATGTTGTCCACTGAAATTTTTACTCCATCTTTACTGCTTATACCAGTACCGAGAGAAAGTCATGCTTTATGAAATCAGCTTTGGACCAACAAACATGCATTGGTCCCTTGTGCATTGTGGGCTTGAGCTTATGTCGTAACGTTATACCACAAGGACACTTAACAGAACTAAATATAACATAAAGTGTTTTAGCTTTATACATCACTGCTACCTCCAAGTCGCATTACAACCACATTGAAGCAAAACATTGGTGAAGCATTGTTGCTGCGTGTAACGATATATGAATTAAGCGGCGCTTCGACTGCAGTGGTCATTTTTCTGCGTGTGTGTTTCTCGCTGCTGCGCGTAACTCCTGCTGCCGTTGCACGCATGTACATGCCTCAAAGCAAACGCGACGGCCTGTCTGACCCGTGAAGAAGCGGCATACCGCCCAGCAACAGACCGTTACCTTCCACCGGGCGTAAGGCGCCCGGTGGCGGAACGGATGTGGCGCAACTCCACTGAGCTGGAAACTTGAATCGACATTGCCTCCGATGGTTGCGTTTTACCGGACGGGTGACGACACGCTTATCGTATCGCGCTATATGGCATCGCGTACTTGAAGTTCATCCAACAGCATGGCTGTTCTCGAGCTCGAGTCAACGTTATGAAAAGATTCGCTGGAAAATGCGCACTCAATACACACAAAAACAGGTACACTCGGCATGGAAAAATAAATAGATGCATCTTGGCTGGCAGATAAGAACCCCATTAGATCGGGCCGGAACGCGATTCAAGTCCTTTAAAGACGAGCGGTCGGTGGCATGAAATCTCAGGACGCAACGAATTAAGTCCAGTTGTAGGAGGATATCTGAACCACCATCTGCCTGACTACGAGTGAATTTCAGGCAGACTAAGGTTGTCTGTCCTGCGGCGTGTTACGTTTTCTCTCCTGCCGCTGTGTTTTCGATCGTCTGCCAATGACTCTGCGCACTCCGGCTGTCAAATCTCTTTCAGCAGACAACGTGATGACACCGTGTGTGTCGC